ACGCGGCTCCTGGGAGCGCCGCGGCGCGAGCCCCCCGGCCCTGCACCGGCTACCGCGGGCGCTGGGGGTGGCGGGGACCCTGCCTGGGGAGCCCCGCGGCCGAGGGGCACCGCGCTGGGCTGCGCCCGCCGCCCCTGCTGCCCTCGGGTTTCCCTTCTCACCTGCTTCTTCGGGCAACGGCGGTTTCTGCTGCCCTCTCTCCCTCCTTCCCCCCGAAGTAACTCCAGAACTAATGTGTACACGGTTATGTTACATGCTGTGAGTTATGATGCGACTCCCCCCAAGGAAAAGAGCCACCTTGGAGATGCCTTTCCTCCAGTTTACATATGGGTATATCCCGTGGAGGCATTTGTCACACTGGGCCGATGCTGTCCCTTTTTAGCCTCAATTTAGAAAAAAAAAAAAATTGTTGCTTTTTGCTGTAAAAGCAACAAAAAGCTGTGTTGTTGAAGGCTGGTTAAAGGGTGTTGAGGAGGAGAAGTTCTGTATTTCTTGTTAAATTCGTTTATTCACTCTGTCTGCAAACTATCATGTAGCCAAGAAACTTGAGTTTCCCAAACGTGTTCTGGCAGTGTTGCCTTGAAGTAATGTTTACTTGAAAGTCTGGACTCTTCTGGAAATGTTTATAAGCTGGGGGAGCTCTGGAGAACTTTTGTAGGTTTGCTTTGCACTTTCCCTCAGTGATCCTGTGTTCTTAACACATACACAATTTTGTTGTTTTTTGGGAAGTTGTTGGCTACTTCTGTTCCTATTTGTGATACTGTTGCAATGCATTTTAAAAAGAAGCTTGTTGAATGAGAATAAATCAATTGATTTGTTTTTTTGTTTGTTTTTTTCTTCTTTACAGCATCGTCACTGATGTTGCAGTTGGTGTGAAGGTAGGATGTACATCTTGCAAATAAGGGGGCAACTCCTAGATACAAAATGAATTAACTTGAATAATTGCAAGTTATAAGATTTAACTAGTCATTAGCAACTGACATGTACTCATCTGTGTATGCTATATTAGCCAAAAAGCCATAGATAAATTTGAGACTTTCTGAAAAGTACTTCTGTGGGCAGTGAACTGTAAACAGTGATTCTAGATTAGTGTGTTGGAATCTGCTTTTTATTTTAAAGTTTAATTTCGCATACTTTTTCAAAGGCAACTTTCTCATTGCTGCACAGTGACTGTGAAAGCTGTGCAGAAGTTTATTTTTCCCCATCTTACCCCTGTCCCTCTTTTCAAACAACTACCAGTGAGTTAAAAAAGACATGAGTGCCTGTAATAGGATACAAAATACAGGAGCTAGAATCTGTCCTGAAGCCAGAGAAGCAGATCTTTGCTTTGTTTTACTTTCTGCTTGTCAAGTTAGGAATATGTCATACTCTTGACAATAAGGCAGGGGTTTCATAATGACTATTATATGATTTACTTCACATGTATATGATATGTATATGATAAATATATGATTTCACATCTGATGCAGGACCTCCTAAAGTGAGACTGAGCAATAAAGAGGACATGAAAATATGTGACAAGGGAACATATAGGTTGTGTTGGTGAATGCATGCGATGAATTGCATTTCATTGATATAGGTGAAGGTTTTCTCACATGGTTCAGAGTTGATTTTGGTCCTGCAAGATTTAGACTGGTTTCTAGATAAGTTAGTCTGTAGCAATAAGTACATATGTGTTTCTGAGCAAGCTCACTTATGGGAGGCGTTGGGAGAAGTGGCCCCTATGGGTTGTGGGCCTGCCTGGTTCCATGTGCTGGTTCACTTATTGTAGACAAGCTTGAAATCACTCTCAGAATCAAAAAAAAGTGCAGTCATTAAAGGTACTTCTGTGGGAGCTGGTGCCAGTCAGAAATTCTGACTGGAGAGATTGTTTTTCCGTTACCTTGGAGAACAAGTTGTTGACTCATAAAACTTTTTAAGGAATGTTTTTGAGAGTATGGAAGAATACTGAAGGAAATTCAGAAGTGAACAGCCACTCACATGAAAAGTTTTTGGGCTGAGAAATCTTTGAACTACTTTCAGTCTTGTCTGATGTAAAATAGCAATTCCAGGTAATCCGTATGTTGTCTGATTTGTAAGCTATGAGGTTCTGACTTCAAGAGAAAATGAGTTCAGTGTCAACTTTAGTTGAGGGACTTCATTTTATAATAATGTGAGAGTTGATAAAATGCATATGTGGTTTGAAGTGCACTTCTGGCAATGTTTTCAGATGTCAGCCAACCAATGAAATGAAGACTTTTCAGAGGACACAGTGGCTACTTTTCATTGATTGTCAAAATCATGTTGTGAATATAAGTAAGGATGTAAGACAGAACACAAGACAGGCATAAGAGACAGTGATTAAGTAGTTTGAAATGCGCAGAAGTAACAAGATGTGATCTTTGCTGTGTGATAATAGACTTAGGAACTCTCTTTAAAAATAGGAGAATCCAGTAGTGCCCTGGAGTACAGGGAGTAAAGACAGAGGAGGCTGTGGAGAAAGCTGTTATGGGATAAGGGAGCAGGACTGTCTCCTGGAGCTACTCCTGCCCTCCTCTTGGTCATTCCCCTCTGCATTCCTTCTAGCAACCTAGATGCTGTGTGCAGCCTGGGGAGCAGGCTAAGCCTAGCTGTTGGCTGACTTTGCAGACAGCGTTGTGAAGCTTTGGCAATTGCACTTTTTCTCTGATTACTTTTCATTGCTCTTGGTGAATTAATGACGTTTTTAAATTGAGGAAAGCTTGACCTATGGGTGGTGTATAGACAGTTGGGAAGTCTCATCTGTTCGTTCCTTTGTCTCCTCCTTTTCCTTGTGTGCCTTGGGGCTCTCAGTTTTGACTGAATATTATCAGTAATTTTGGTGCTCTTTTGGCAGCCTTCTGTGCTGTGGGGCTGCTGGAACCAGGCAAGGATTTACCTATGCCTGTGTGCAGTCAACTTATCCAACGTGTTCGTTGGAGCTGAAGCTTTTGAGAGAGTTTTTTGCACCTACTGATCAACAGATAGCATATGAGTCGTAGCATGTGTGTAATGTATTTGATTAAACTCAGCAAGAGGGACTGTAACCTATGACCCTTCTCTTTGGAAAATATGGATGTCTCTGATGTAATTTAATAAAATTATCAGAGATGTTGGTACACAACTAAAAATTGCATTAGCTATTGTCTGTGTGTGTTAGGATAGGAGTTGGTAGGAAGTACTTGCACATCCTAATATTTTTAAGCAGTAATATGTCACAAAGTCCCTTTTTTTCTACAGATTGAAACTTAAGGGTACAGGAAAAACATTAGCTCAAACAGCAGAGTTCTAAACAAATCTGAGCTGGTGGAGAAAGGGAGAGTAGTGATTTTTTTTCCCCCTTGTTTTAAGGACTCCTGAAGCATTGTTGGTTACTTGCAAGTTCTGAGAGGTAATCTCTGCAAAACACCTCCCCATTTTTGCTGTTAATGATTAAATAGTGGAAATATTTGGATTTATTTAGAGTTTTCATTGAAAGTATCTATAATATGTCAAATGCCATGTGATAGTCCACATTTTTTTATTTGTTTTTTCTTAGTACAGAGCTATAAATCACTAAGACTTGAAAGTTGTCGACTTAAGATATTAGATGGACAGTTCTGTTGGCTTTTGCATGTTTATTGTAATTGGACCACTAGTACAATGAGCTGAGGACAGTGATATGAGAGAAATGACTTATTTAAAAGGGAAAGGGGAGTACTGTTGCCTGAATTGGTAGGGGCTCCTCTTTAAAACTTAAAATAAATGAACAGAAGGTCTTTTTTATTCATATCTCTGAACAATTAAAGTGGTTACATAATCTCTCCTCACTGTTTAGCTGTATCTGAATATTGTTTACAGTATGCACAGTTTTGATCTTAAGATGTTTCCTGAAGTTTACCTCTGTAAACTGGAGAAACTGTTTTTTAATGTTCTGTTGACTAGGATAAAGCTTCTAAATCAAGTTTTGTCTTCAGTAATACTCTATTGTAGCAAGAGGAGAAAGCAAAAAATACGCAGGAAGTTCTAGCAGTGAAATAACTGTGACCTAATTTAGAAGTTTATTAGCTTTGTCTCTTCAGCAGTAGTATTTTGTTGCTGCTACAAGGGATGTGTCAGTGGTGACTAAAGAAAACTTGTTACACTTGAGAACACTCACTCCCTTTTTAACAGTAACTTCTGTGGATGGACCCTGCTTAAATTGTGACTTCAGTATTTCTGTTTTTTACTATTAGTCTATTTCTTTTCTGTTTTCTTAAAATGCTCCTTCTATCACTGTCAATGCATATGGGAAAATGCAAAGACTTAAAATCGGAGAGAAGGAAAATCTTTGACAAGCAACCTATGCTTTATAGCAGACTGGTCTTGATGTAAGGGAATATTAACATACTCCTTTATTTTACTTTCATGTCTGTTACTAACTGTGAGGCACCTATTTTTCCTTTTTAACAGAACACCTGTACTTGCACTTTAACTGGAGGATTTGTAGGATCACCTGCACCCTGCCTGAGAAATCAGCTAGCAACATGAAAAAGCATGCTTTTTACAAACTAGTTAAGCAGCTTTCTGCCAAAAGAAGGTGCTTTTTCGCTGTCACTGTTTTGCTTCTGGTACAGATATTTGCACAGCTTCTTCACAAAGTTGTCTTAGCAACTTAAAAGCTTGTCTTATGTAATGAGTCATGATTTTTATAAAACTTAATTTTATTTAAAAATGATAATCCTGTTAATATTTTTATATTTGTCTGAAAACGTTTTACCATATGATTATGTAAATACTTGTAGCAGTACAGACTTGAGGATAGTATAAGAACAGGTTGCTTGGGCCAGAGAAGAGACTGGGACTGTAGTTTTTGGTGGCAATATTGGCTCAAATTGATTATAGTTGGCAGATTGCTCAGAGGATTGTGATGTTTGCTGTAGGGAATTGTCTTTCTTCATTTACAGTTGCAACCCCCTCCCCAAATGCCTCTAAGCCTTTTTTCTAGCTTTTCATAAGATAAGTTTGTTGGGTCAGTGCATAATTTGAGGATTGACTTATAGATAGTTAAATGGCACTAGCATTTAACTTTTTTTATTAGAGCAAAATAGCAGAGCAGTAAAGACAAAATGTCTCTAACATCTTTTATTGTGATATATAAACTGCTGCAGAAGGTCCATACTTCTAGATGCCACTATTATCCAATCAATTTGCTAAGAACATGTCCAGATGGTAGCTCTAGTGGATTATTTTCCCCTTATTTTAGTTCATTAGCAGTTATGTGCTGCTTCAGAATAACAGTTTATATGCTGATAAAAGTGGGATAGAAAATCTGAAATACTAGGATAAATATATATATTTGTCTAGTTGGTCTTGAATGCTTGTGGAGTTGACTGGTGCTAGACTTGGCTTTTGCCTATTCCCTCATTCCTTGGAAGTCTCAAGGCTTGGAAATGAGGTTGGATGCTGTGGGTTAAGTGGAGGTTTAGTTCTTGACTCCTTAGCTGTCTAGTTCAGTGGAGTTCGGCATGCTCCCTGGGCACATTGAGAGGTTTGGCTTTCTCCTGTTGGGTTTAAATTTTTTTTTTTTTTTTTTTTCCAGAGGAATTTAGGCTTGTCTTTATATCTTGGTGAATTTAAGTCTTTTTCAGATTCCCTTATTTGAGGGGGGGGAAATATCTTGGAGCTAACTTTGCATCTTTGTAATACAGTTAGATACATGGCATAACTTGCTTAACATTGTTATCAGTGAAAAGGCTATTTTTTTTCACCGCTCCTTATCAAACACTTCTAAGTGTGAAAATATTTTAATTAGTTTTTAGGAAATAAAAACAATATATGGTTAGATGAGGACAACATCAAAAATGAAGTGGGATATTTGGAGAATGAGTATGGAGAGGTGGTCATTATCTGGTTTTCATACTGAATTTAAAAACAAATGTTATTAATCACTCATGTATTTCTTGGCTATATTTTACTTGGAAAGACCTATAATGTAGTTAAATAGTCTAATTAAAAATAAATCAAAATAACCTAGTTTAAAGAAAAATCAAGTAGACTTATTCCTTGTATACAGTGTTTTAAGTAGTGGTAGTTAAACATACAGGTGAAACTATGCTCTGTAGAATACCTGTGAACCAACCATATGGATCTTTTCTTAGTTTGTGTATTTGTGCCTGGCTTGTCCTGTCTCAGGTGATTCTTCTAATTCTGTGATCCTGTATGTCCAAGGGTTGTAAGCATCTGTTTTAAAAATTGTTTTGGAGCATGTGTTGTAATAGTACTGTCTAAAGGCAGTGTGTTAGGCAAATAAAATATATCCTCTTCGTTTGAGATGTGTCAGGATGTATTTATTGAATGTTTCATTAACAGTGTATCCTGTTAAAAGGAAACATTCATTAAATATTAATCCATTTCATATGTAAAGTGAACAAATTTTATAAATGCTGTGTTTAGGCAGGTTTAAAGGCTGTTGTCTGTATAGTTTCCAATATTCCTAAAGTTAATTCAGTTTCTTAATTCTGAAGCAGAAGGTTTTTATGGGTGTGTTGTCTGGAGCAGAATGTTTACCAACCATGCTGAAATTTTCAGATGCTCTTATTCCTCAACCATGCTGTTAGATTTCTGACTTTTTCTTTTAAAATGTTCCCAGATGTTGTTAGAAATGAAGCATCTCGCAATGCTTTTAGATTTCTTTAAATCATGAGATCTGTCTCTGGGCTTGTCATACCCCTTGGGAAGCTCATGTCTGTAGGCAGAGAGTGACTGGTTAATGTGCAATCAGCTGAAATTTTCTCACCCTCCTGAGTTTTTTCTTTTCATCAGGTTGGGTGGGGAGAGTATCCTGCTCTTGAGGTTTATAATACCAGTAAACTGCCACAAATCACAAATTAGAGGAGTTATTCGAAAATGTATTTTTCAGAGTCTGAGGGTATTTTCAACGTAATTTTTCTAGGACTTAAATATATTTAGATGATGCTTCGACTTTTACATAAGTTCAGGCTTGTTCATTTGTTTATAGTTTCTAGCAATATCCATTTAGTGGGTTTAAAGTGTTGGAAGAGGCCTTCATCTGCAAGTGATGCCAGTAAGCCTTCTGTAATATATTTTTTTGTATTAGCTTTAGTTAAACCAGACTGGAATTTTCAAAAACTTTGAATTAGTGGGAAAAGAGCTGTTAGTATGTGTCTTAAATATCTGATCCTTTCAAAATTTTCAGTCTTTAAAAGATTAAACCTCTTAGGTAGTTACCAAGCCAAGATTAGCAAGTTGTTAATATTTACTTTTTTTTTTTTTTTTTTTTTTTTTTTTTTTTTTTTTTGCCTTGGATGTAGTGGAGTCTGGGGAAGGTGTTTAAATATTTCAAGTCTTTTCTGTAATGTGGGGTAGCTGGCAAAGCCTTCTGAATAGTGTTTTTTATGTTTTTTTTTAATCATCCTAGAAGAATTTTGAGTGCAGTGACTTGGGTAAATTACATAGGTACTTAATATAATGTAGGTTAGTTTGAAACTTTATGGAAAAGAACATCAGAAGTCCAGCTGTACATAGTAAAGGATTCTGAGTTAACTATGACTATTAAAGCAAGGAATAAAGTACTTAGTTGACTAAGTAAAGTGTGTTTTTATTTGTATAATTGATTTTTGTGAATTGTAGAAGAGCCATCTATATTTATTCAAGTATAAAAACGGTGTTTTCAACTTAGATATTGTTTTATATGTTGTATATATGTGTGATTTTTTTCAAAAACACACATTCGGACTTTGAATTTTCACCCATTGGCAAGTGATCTTACATGTCAGCTTTGCACAGTAAATTCTTGGTTCATTAAAGCCCTCAAGCTGTATGTTAATTTGCTTGCTCTTTCACACTGTGAATAGCAGTATCCCCCACTGGGGCCAAGACTGTTGCAACCCTATAGAACTGACCTGAGTTAGTTGAAATGTCCTTTAATTTTTATGATGTGACTTGTGAAAGTGTTGTGCTTGAGAACAAAACTAGCAAATGCACGAGATGCTTGTAAAACTCACTTCTGATGTGATGGAGAAGATTGACAAAAAAAAAAAAAAAAAGAAAAAAAGAAAAAAAGAAAAAAAGAAAAGACTTCCATTCAGCAAATGAATGGAAGGTCTTAAGTATTTCTCCTCTAATTTAGGAAATGTTTGTGTCATAGCAGTGCCCATCTGCATAAGAATGGACAGTTACTTACCTGATACCCATAAATTGCTAGGTAAATCTTTAGGTTTGACAACTGTCAGCTTAAGGTGATCCTTTTGAAGTAATGCCTACCAGACAGCTTTGCTTTTCATTTGTAATTTAATTGCTCTGTGCACAGCACCCGAGGTGTCTCTTGCTGAATAGCTGGCTTTAAACATATGCACAGGGATGGCTAGACTGTTTGAGAATCATTAAGGGGAAAAAAAAGAAAGCTATGTGTGTTTAGTAAGTTTGTCTGGTCACATGGCAGTATATTTTTGTACTCATGATAGTAAATTTGAAGAGCTTTTCTGTATGTTCTTTGTTTCATGATCATTTGGAAGAAGATTCCACACAGGAGTTTGTACAAGTGTACATCAGACTTGTGATTGCTCTGCTTTGTAAGAACAAAGCAAGAACTATAGGATTTGCGATATGTGCCCAAACAAGAAACTTGAATTTGCTTATTCATCTGAAACAAATTTAAGTTTTTAAGTGTAATGACAAAATCTCATGATTTACCATGTGAGCTTATTAATGAAATGCAAAATATATTTCTAAATGAGGAGAAATTTTTTTAACCCATGAAACAAATGCAGTAGCTGAATATTTAGACCATTAATGAACTTTGGACTCTTCCTGTGTATTAGCCTTTAAAAATAGGGATGTTGAAATTAGCAATTCAGCAGCAACTATGTCTCACTGGCAGATCTGCCCTTATATTGAGAGGACAAGACCTATTGCGGGGCATTCCTCATTATCGAAGGACATCTATGCTGTTGATTTAATAGAGCTTTTATAGACACTAGGAAGCCAGTAGTAGTTGATTACATGTATACATTTCTTCAGTGCTGGTATTAGAAAGAAATTGAACTTTAATAAGTCTACATGAGCCTATGTATATGCCCTGTTTCTGAGCATTTTGTATTTTAGATGTGGAATAAGTACTTGAACATGCTGGTATTCTTGTTGATATATGCAGTGGAGGGGGAAAAACTGGTGAAAGTTTTTCTTTATGTATCTTGCAGCTGTGTTACAAGGAAATGTGTTATCCTTCTGTTAGTTGAGTATGTGATACTGAGTTCCGTGTAAGATGACCTTGTGAGCTTCATTTGTGAGTCTATCACAATGTCTATCGACTAGTGTAAAGCACTTATTTTTATGAATATGGGTAGTAACTGGTTTCATTCCTCTTCTCTTTCTTAGCCATGATCTGAACTAGTGTTGATGGTGCTAGTGACAAGGAAAACTTTTTTTAAGTAGGGAAAGATCCAATAAGTGATTAAAAATAACCTTTAAAGGATGTGAGGCTTATGTGCTTTTTAAAAACTTGGATATCTGGGGTTTTGTTTGTTTATTATGGAAGTGTGAATATGTTGGGGACTTATTTCCCTCTCACCTACTCCCTGGTTAAAAGTGGTACCTGTACATTTGAATATCTTATACCCTGAAAGATGGAGGAAGGAGTAAATTCAAAATATCAGAGAGGGGGGTGGGGAGAAATAAGAATGTGAAACTTACATTTTACGCCTCAATTATCATTTTTCAAAAAGGCTGAGGGAGCAGTTGGCAGGGAAAGGAATAAAAGCCTCTCTAGTTTTGTCTAGTTTTAGGGCTCATCTCATAAATAACTTGAAAGGTTATCCTTAAGTTTTTAATATAGATCCTCCTCTGAGTGCAGCAGTCTGCTTCCAAGTCAGCTTCAAAAAGACCTATTATTTGACGCTTGTTGTCAGATTTTAGAATTAAATTAAAATGAAGACGTCCCTTCCTGCCCTCAAGTGTGTTGTAGGACAGGTGGGTATCTCCAGACCATGAGCTATTAATTTCCTCTGAAGAAAGCCTTTAAAAATAGGGATGTTGAAATTGAACTAAACTCAGTATTTCTCTTGGTAAAGATTTCCCTTGTAGTTTTGGCTAGATATAACTTTAATTTGAGATCCTGGACAGGCTTACTGCTCAGCACTTCTCCTTGCCCCTGGAGGTGGCTGCATTTCAGTGGTGGGTGAAACAATTATGTTTAAGCAACTCTCATTGCAAAGTTTGCCATGTAAATATATTGCTTTATTTAGATTTCAGATTGCTCTACATATCTTAAAAAAGGAAATCTGCCAAAGCAAAATAGGTTTGGTTATGCTTGCTTACGTTCTTCTAAAGGTTTTTTTCCCTGTCAAACTGACGTATTTAATATCATCTTTAAAAATATAAAATAGAGGAAAAAAAATCTCTTACTGTCTCTTTCTTTTTAGAGAGGATCTGACGAACTTCTTTCAGGCAGTGTACTCAATAGCCCGAACTCTAACATGAGCAGCATGGTAGTTACTGGTAAGTGATGCCATTTCAAAGGAGAAATCTATCGTTTTTTCTTGGACTCGTTTCCTATTTACAAGGGGAAAATATTGAAACCAGAATCCATTGTTTTACAGAGGGGTATACTGTTGCCATGCATCAGACTAGAGCTACCTTGTATCTAGTCTCAAACCTCGAGTGTCTGCGAAGAGCAAGCCCATAAAACAAAAGGCAACTCTTAGCTATCTATACAGTAAATTGGTGGTGGGTAGTGGGATGAAAAATTACACTTGTCTTGTGCAGCTGCCTTGAGTAAGGAAGTAAGGAATGACAACTACCAAGGAAAAGCAAACAACTCCAGGAGTATGTCTTCCTTTTCATATGTAGACATTGACAACTCCGGGTATTACTGCTAAGAACATTGCAGCTGTTTCATAATTAGCGTCATTTCAAGAAAACAAAGATCTTATTTAGATCGCCAAAGCAAGGAACATCATTTTGCTACTTCAGTTTACGGTAGCAGCTTTAGAATCTCTTAATACCAGTGCAACGTAAGAAAGTTTTCTAAATTTTTTGATGAAGCTAGATACAAAGGCTTATCATAAATTGGTACATAATATACTGCTTTTCGTCTGCTTTTTATGGCAGTTTATGGTCCTACATGCTTTTTTCATAACTACTCCATTTTTTTCATAACTACTTTTTTTCTCTTCTTTCCTCAGAGAAGTGGATGAAATAGTTCATGGCCTCAGTGCTAATGAGCTTCCCAAGTAGTTGTCTGGTTGTTGCTTGAATATGCCTGATGGATTTTTTCCATGCTTATGTGTAGGAAAGACACTGCAGTCATTTATATTCTCCTCTCAAGAAATATAGTTCTTCCATTGGATCATTTTACTGATCGGTCGCATGGCAGCACAACTGCTGTAGCCTGTGCAGGGGGAAGAAATGTGGAGGCACAGCAGAGCGGAATCGCTTGCATTTACTGCAGCTTGGGGAAATGATGCGTCTCACAGGCACAGATGAACAATAAGTGAAGTGAATTTACAGCAATTTTAGACTGTCAGAAGATTCATTTGTCTCTGTTTTTTTTCTGAGTTCCTTCTGGTTTTCAAAGATGAACCTCTCCATTTTTATTTCATATTTCGCTGCAGTATGAAATAATACTACTTCAACAGTTTGTTTTGGTTAAATGAGACTAGAATTAACTGGAGAAACTGGAGAATGGGTTTTGAGGATTTTTCTTGGGAAGGGGGAAGCGCTTCTGTTGGTTATTGTCAGGGTAATTGTTTTTCTGGTTTTTCTTAAACTTCCATATGGTTTCAGAGAAATTTTTAGTTCAGGAAGCTAAATGCAAGTTTACTTACGGGAAGACTTTTAAAGCTAAAGACAAAATATAAAGTAAAAAAAATTGTTAGTTTTGCTTTCTTAGAAAAATCACAGACCCATTCTAAAGTCTTAACATTTTAAGTAGAGAGAACTTTGTTCTCAAAATGCTTTTACCTTCCTTTTCTATTGTGATAGTTATATAAGTAGTTGTAAGAAAACTTTAGGGTTAGAAGTTTGACCTCCCTTTCTTCATGTGTCTTGATCTTCTCCCGTCCTTCTTGCCCTTGTTTAAGTAAGGGTCAGTGTGGGTCAGAATGTTTTTTGTTTGTTTTACTTGGGAAGGAGCGAGGTAGAAAGTGGGGAGGAAGTGTACAGTTTTCAAATGACCTTATTCTGTACATATTGTGTAAACTTTGATGTCTCCATGTCTGAAAAAGTTTAACGTAATACAGGAGCTTTTTAGGACCAATACTATTAGTTGCCTACTAAGAAAGTTACTGTGTAACATGGGTGATGTAGGGGGAAAAATAAGGTGGGGCGGATGCAGGGAGAAGGCGCAAAAAAAAAAAAAAAAAAGGCAGATTAGAATTGAAGTCATTCCTTACAGAGGCCAGGGGGACAGGCAACTATGGTGAGGGTGGGCAGGTTAGCCAGGTGTCATTTTTATTTTTATTTTTAAGCAGTTTCTTGAGAGTCATTACAATTATATCAGAGGCAGGCAGATGGAAGATAAATAGCCAAAAAAACAAAAAGGTAGAATATGCTAAAATTCCCAGTTCATTGTCTAGTTTTGAATTTACTCTATAGCCGTCCTGTTTATTAGAAATCTTGGTTATTAGAAGCCAGGAAGTATTCTTTCTGGACTAGTACCATTTACTTGAGAAGTTCAGCCTGTAGATTCTGAAGTAATTAGATCAAGAGAGGTCAATCAGTATGGCGGTGAGGGTGTTCTTATTTTTTTATTTTATTTTTTATTTCCCCCCCTCCAGTCTCCCAAAACTAGGAATGTTCAGGTGGTCTTTGGATTCAAAAGATGAATATATCCTCCCCTTTTTTATTTTGGTTTCTGTTTTCTGATACTGAGTTTTTATGTAAAATGGTTATTCTACTCTAGCCAAAGTGGTGAATCTTCTTCAAAGATTCTAGCACCTGTTACAGAATCTGTAATGATTGATCAACCTCCTTGTAAAGAAGGCACATTTCAGAAATTAGTCTACACTAACTTTATAATTAATATGTGAACTTGTCCTTTCATTCTTTATCGTTTGGGAGTAGTGTCTTGATTTTTATGAGTTCTGGCTATTGTTTTCTGCAGTGCAAAGAAACCTTTTCAGCTTTTGGCCTTGACATTTTCACTCTCTGATCCTGTGATATTTTCTGAACCGATATCTAGATGAACAGAAGAAAGAGGCAGTTTATTTTGATAATCTTCTAAGCCTTCTAAAAGTGTGCTATCAAGAAAACATAGTTGTCCCAGGAGTGCCCTAGCAGGCTTAAACGTGGTATTAAGACTTTTAAATCATTGACTTGTTTCTTTGTAAATCTGTACTATAGAAATGACTTTTTTTCTGTTTGCTTGCTTATTTACCTGGAGAAGTACCAAAAAAAAAAAAAAAAAAAAAAAAGAAATGTTTATAGACATGGATGGTTTTGGTAGTTTTGTGGGAGGTGTCCTTAAGGATAATCTTGGTGGGAATTCTTTAGAAGTGATCCTTCTGACTTTTCATTGCAGTATAGGGTTGGTGTGTGGGGTGTGCGCTTCTAGTGGCTTTGTTTCATTATTGTTGTTATGCAACTTTCTTTTGGTTAGACGCAGTACTGTAGTACTTCAGTGCTCATCTGAGCACTTTTGCTCTAATTTCTTTTTTAGTAGGAGTAAGCCAAGCTACTTTCTGTGTTGTGTAGGGCCTTTTGCATACAAATTTCTTCCCCTGCTTTTTCTTGCCCTGTTTCCCCCCCCTCTTCTTCCACCCACAAACCTGCTTATCGAGTTTGAGGGGGAAATATACACACAAACATATATATGTGTGTGTATATATACACACACACACACGTGCGCACACGTGTTTGTATATGGTATATAAACATATACCATATATATACACTTTTTGTATTCTTATTGGTTATATGGTTAAGAATATGGAAGTAAGGAAAATACTGACGTGTTAGCCTGTTGTTTGTAGGATGAAATTCATGCCTCACAATAGGAGGCCTAAACATTACCTGACTCTTAATCAGCTTTGGCATCAGTACTTCTGTTCAACTGGACTGCGTAGATAAAGGGAAATTGGGAGTACGTGGTAGTGATGTTGGTTGTGGATGAAGGTACTAGCCAGTATGTTTTATCTCTTGTAAGAGAACTTTAATATAAACAAGGATTAGCCTTCAGTTTTGTCAGCAATTACTTCTGTACCCCTTGCATCTGCCCTTTTCTTCTGGGTATCATTTGGTTACTACCCTTATCCTTATGAAGCAAAGCATATATATTTAAACATACAAAAAAAGCTTTTACAGAAGCAATTTAACAATATGAAAGAATATGCCTCTACAAACACTTGGAGGGAAAAATCCCATATACTACATCTGAATGTTTTGCAAAGGATGACAGCTTATAAGATTTTAGTTGAGAAAATGTTGGAGTCTTTTGAAAAGCTCTGTAGGTTCAGATGTTTTAAGTTTCTGAGCTTTGTAGAATAGCTGACTTGGCAGCGTTGAGGTGGCATTGTCAAAAATATGGCATGTAAGCGTTGTTGTTTAGCTTGTCTGAAAATATTGTCAAAGTCCTTTCTTTTCTACTCCAGTCATGCTTGGCTCAGATCTCTCTGCAGAGCGTAACCCAGTCTTCGGCATGGTGAATATATATATATATATATATATATATATATATATGTGTGTGTGTGTGTGTGTATATATATATATTTAATGCTGCTATGCAGCAGATAAGGACTTGGTGAAAGGCAGTTTAGGTAAATTAAAATGTGGTTTATAACAACCCAAGCAACTACATGTAAGTACAGTTAAAAATACTGTTTTTCATTTTCCAGTACTTTATCTGCTAAATACCCCCTGTGTACTTGGTGCACATTCTTCAACTTTTAAAGTTTGGGAGGAAAACAAAACAAAAGGATTGTAATAAATTGTCAGATTTTCTATTTTAACCATCTCCTCTTTTATTCTGTTGTACTTTAAAGCTCCATTAGTACCAACACTTCTGATTTTTATTTTGCTACTGAGCCCACTAAACTCCTGGAGCTTAAATGGTACTGTTAATCTCAGTCTTGTTTTTACTACGTTAGCAGTGAATGTTAGCAATTAGTATGGTGGATAAATTATTGTATTAACTTAGCACTCTACCATAGAAGATAATTATGGTGGTTCCATTGCATTGTTTAACTTGGGGAATAAACTTAGATGTGATTTTATAACTAATAACCAATTTCAGTTAATGTGTAGTGATGCTTAAACATAGGTAATTTGTGAAGAATGTATTGATGAATGGAAAGAGCTGGAGAAGTACAGGACATATGACTAAATTAAAATTAGGAAACTTTTAAAAGAAAATAACCTCCGTATGTGAGAGATGGTGTGTAATTTAATAATTCAGTTGATTTCTCTCTGCTTCACCATGCCCTAATTCAGTTTTATTCTACTTTAATTAAATTAACTTCTACCTCAATTAGAAAATATTGTTACATATTTTAAGTTCTGAA